GCAGTGCCAACATTAATATATGTCAAAATTTTGAAGGATTCGGAGATTGTAACAATATTTGGATAAATTACTAAGTGGGTGGATAAATAATTGCAGATACTCAAGATGCCACAGTTCAGCAAGTTACCACTCATCAGCTGAAACACGGGAGCCGATTGTTTGCTTGGTTTTAGTCCACTGTGAGTGTTATAGAAGTTTCTTAGTTAAATCACCTTCAGCTCAAGCTGCATAACTCAGAAATGTTCATTTTCTCAAATGTGTGGTGGAGGCAGGTAAAGGTGTTGTTGTCTTTGGTTTAAGTTACCTACATTTCCATAAAAAAGGAATAACTTGCTGTAAATTTTCTTCTTCCTAATATTTCCATCAGTGAAAAAATAAATTACCTAGATAAGAAAGACTTGTATAACAAAAGCTAAAGAAATACCACCACATTTACAAAGAATACGTAAAAATAAGATATACATAGATTGCATTCTGTACCTTAGAATGGTTAAATGGTTGGGGAAGCTGAATAGAGCTTTTTTTGCATCATTTCTTCTAAAAAATCTATGGTGGGAAAAAGAATAAAAGAAGAAAATTAAAGAATAGAATAAATACGTTAGCTACAATACTCTGCAGCCTTTGTGTTGATATTGCTCATTTGCTGGAGCGTATACCGCTCCCTTTTTTACATTTATGCTCTAAGCGGTGGATTTACTTTGTGGACATTTTCATGTACATTAAATTCAGAGTGACCACGTTAAATCTTTGAACAGTCTGAACCAGGCAACAATACATTTTGTTAGTCATAATTACCTTTAATAATACAAAGAACTCAAATAGTCTGGTTTAAAAACACAACAAAAGGTAACAACACCTAATTTTCATCAACATATAAATTAAGTGAATCAGTATAAAAGATCCTTGATTACTTTTGTAACTTGGAGTGCAATTTTGTGGCAGAAATTCAGTTTTTCTGTCCTAGTATGTGTGACAAAAGCAATGAAAAAATGCCAATCCACACTTAAGTTGGTAGCTAGCAAAAAACTTAGTGTAGGCATTGACCGTCCATACAGTACCTACACTTCTAGCTGCCATATAAATATATCCGTAGAATAAATCCTATCCTTAGTATGTCCTTTCAACAGCAATAGTAAAATCTGTATTAGAAACAAAATCCTTCCCTACCCCCATCTGCTACACAGCCAAAAACCACTTGAGGCTGAAATGCAACCAAATACATGCAAATACATTTTACTGGGACTGATCCTGCGTACATTTTGAATAATTGAAATGAATGGAACTGTTTGCGTGATTAAAATCAGGTACCCGGCAAGCTGCAGAGCTGCAGCTTGGGCTGTCGGTGCCAGTGATGGGAAAGTAATGTGAAGGAGTTGGTACGGACTTGTTCACCTCCCCAGTTCTAGGACTGGTTTGGTGGCTTTGTTGATTGCAGAAAAATCCAGCATCATTCAACTGGAGTATTTATTTTCTTGCTCATTACTTTTTCGTGCTCTTGCAGAATAGTTTTAAGGTGTTTAGCAATTGTTTTGATGGTGTAAGAGTAGCTTAGCAGACCTGAAATTCTGGACAGTACTGTTTATCTACACAGCAGTTTCACTGTTATTAAGTGCTCCATGCATTTCTAGAGTGATTCACAGGTCATTGATTTTTTTTGTATTTAAGATGTACTCATTCATATAAATATTCTTTAGACAATTCACATTGATCTTAATGCAAACTTAAATTCTGTTTCAGCAGTCAGTGAATTCAGGCTGCTCAAGGAACTCAGGAAACAGATAAATAAGGGGAAAAAAATTATTAATTACCTGGTTACTTCCACAGCCTCTCATGAAATCTCCTCTTCAATGCTTTGGTGCAGACAGAGCACTTCAAGTGTAAAGGGTAAAGGCTGTCAAATCACAGTTTTGGCAAATTGGCAGCTAGGATAACATACACCCTTTTATTTTCCTTTCCAAGCTATCTGCTCCATCTGACTCTGGAGGGGTGCGTTAAATCAGTTCCACACCTTGAAGAGTCTGGGTTCTTCACAAAACATCTTGTGTTAAATATGCACATGCGAAACAAGTTATAACGCACCATTACAACCTCTTTTATTTCAGTAACACCTTTTTCAACAGTTGGCAGGGCCAGCCATAATCTATATTTAAATAATAAACCAGACACATCTGGAGGCTGAGGCAGTCAACTGAGACCTGAAAGCATCTCTGGAAGTGCCTTTCTCTTTTTATCCATGATCCAATGAGGTCAATCTGGCACTGAACCAAGGCATCTCCGCTAAGTGGGGTGGAATTGGGTCTAAGCTTTTTTGGTCATAGTTTTAGATAGGAAAAATGTCAGAAGTTGCTGAATTTATAGCAGGCTAAAGCGTATGGAATTACCTCACAGTTCCTATCGACTGAGAGCATGCGTATGGACCTTGCAGTGCCAAGAATCGTAACTGATGGTAACTTGATTCTGTGTTTGATAACAGAGTCAATCAAAATAATTAATTAAATAATGTCGTATCTGGTGATTGAGTGCACTTAAAACTTGTGCTGTTTTACAGTTCCATGCTTACATGATGGCACTGAAACGCAGGCTTTAGCAAGTATTATCTATTTCTTGCCGTGTTTTCAAAATAAGTTTTGAGTAAAGTCATAGTATTTCTGATTTGTAGTGCTAAATTCAATTTTATCCAGATTGCATCTACCTTTGTGCCATTTGCTTGTCTCTGTGCTTATTTGATATAATCAGATCTTCCCATGGTACAGGCTGGCATCCTCCCTGCTGGATTGTGAAAGCACTATTGCCTTCTGGCTGCTGCTGATTCAGGACTGTATTAAAGCAAGACTTGAAATAGACCACAGAAACTATTTAGATTAGGATTATATACAATATGTATCATTACTTTTTAAACAGATAACTGCAATGCTCTTTTGATGCGTATTTAGTGCAGCCACTGATTACATTTGTACTCCTTCTGTGTTGATGGTACCATCCAAAACGATGTACTGAACTCTGAATTATTTTACAGAAAAGTAGAACAAGGTTTCTCTGGTTGTGTCTGTATCCTTCCATGGAAAACCAGCACACTTCACAATATCCAAATATTACTTAACCAGATTCTATTGACAGAGTAGTTAACAGAGACAGAGAAGAAATTAGTTTTATTTTCATGCATTTTTCTGCAAAAATCTCTTGTGAGGGAACTCAACATCCTGCCTAGTAGTTTGATTGCCATTCCATGACACCCAGCCCCTTTCAGTCACGTATCTCACCGCTATCTGAGAAAAAGTAAGATAAATGGTGCAGCTGGAGCCTTACACAGACTTTCATCATGATAATCACAAAATGAAAGGCCAATCTGCAAAGCCGCGTATTTAAGGTGGCTTTTGCTGAACTTAATACCATTTGCTAGTTTTTAAGGTCTGTAATTTCCACTCATGTTAATGTATTCTAATTGTTATCCTGCTTAGCTTTTGTTTCTCACAAAGATTAAAGTGGTGTGCTTGACGTGTGCAAAGAAATGACTACAGAAAATGGCAAATTAATTGGAAGACGTCAGCTTTTGACATGAGCGCTGTAAGGCTGTTAACAAACAGACTAACTCATTTGTCTCCCCATGGAATGGAAATAAAAATCACAACATTATGATCAAATCTTGATTAGGAAATGCCTGCAAGACTCTTTGAAGCCTTAGGAATTTTTCCTTCCCTGGGCTTTGGCACCGTGATATATGCAAACCAGGCTGTACGTAGCTGTGAAGTGAAATAGGGTCTCTGCAGAACAGATGGACCAGGGCTAACGTGGCGATGTGCACTGGAGATGGGAACAGATTAATACCACGAGGGGAGACTGGAGGAAAATTGGAAAGATGGGGGGATTTGGACTAATTCATGAATCATTTCCAACTGGTAGTTATACCTTCAGGCACAGTGAATAATATCAAGGAAGCATATTTAAAATTTTATAAGTTTGTTTTAATGTAGTTTAGAATGAAGAGCCATGCTTTTGGATGATTAAAAAAAAAATCATTTATCCCCCCTCCTTTCTGATTGTACCTTTGGGATTTAAATATCGCCAATGAGCTTAGTGATGCGCACAGTGACATGAACTGCTCTTTGGAAAATCCGTGGCAGATTCAGGGACTTCGCACAAAGCTTTTGGGAATGGATTTTTTGCAAGAAGCACTGTATGAGGTGTAAGAACATACAGAATCATAGAACATACCCTGCCACTTGCATTCAAGCCTCAGAAATGCAGCTCTGCAGTGTCTGGAGGCATGGCCTGATCGCTAGAGCTCATTCAGGTGTCTCTCTAAGTCTCCCTTGTCTTCATCTTATCCAAGCAGCCTTCAGTCTTTTGAGGCTCAGACTTCCCAAAGCTGTGCCTGAGCAAACATATGTAGATGCCTACATCTTTGGATGATACCCATTTACATTACAGAAAGAGGCTTTCAACAGAGACATTTCACATGACCAAGTTAGGGCATTCTTGCTAAAGGGCATTTTACTCTAGAGCAGTCACATAGAAATGAAAAGCTCCACCTGAGAATTAAAAAAATTAACCTGCATAAATCCATCCGGACCTGAAACAACGAAGATATTTGATAAATATGTACATTCCCAGCTTCAGAGTTCTGTTTATGGGTAAAAGAGCACAATACTTATGTTAGGACTTCAAAGATCCTTCATTTTGCAAAGCTTGATGTATATGGATAAGCCTAATAACTATTATTCATAATGGTCATGGTTAATAAAAGGAAAAAGAAACTGTGAGGAGTGGAAATGTATAGACAATTGTCTGGATGGTCTTCATTCCCATATGACTTCTCATGAGTTTATTGTAAAGGCATTGAGGAGGATATGAAATGTTTGCCAGTGAGGGAAGATTTTGAGAAAAAATCTAATGGAGATGACTAGTTGAGATTGCTACAAAGGAAATAATCTACATGGGTTTCTGTTCACCAGCACAGAGGATGCTGTATCTTTCCTCTGTATACAATTCTTTCATTCTAGGTAAGGCTCAATAAGAAGAGAGAAAGGCATAAAGCAGCCTCCTTGCTTACAACTTGGTTTTCATTGCAGGTGGCAAATCTGGCCTGTTCCATCTCAAATAATGAAGAAGGTGTGAAGTTAGTTCGTATGGCAGCAACGCAGATTGATAGTCTGTGCCCACAGGTAAGTAAGACTCCTGTTAAAAAGTACTTGAGAAACCTTTTGACATTAAAAAGCATCAGTTAGGGAAAACAGCCCGGATGAAGATTATAGCCTTGCTTTTCTCATTATGATGTTGCCTGCTTTCCACGAACTGTGAAAAATACATTTGGATCTTGAGATCTGCGGATCGAATGCGGTGTAATGATGTATTTTTAACTTAGTCCGTCTTCTATTTGTTCTTTCCCTTGTGAAAAAAATGGTGCCACTCCTCATAACAAATGATTTTGAATAACAGGTCATAAATGCTGCACTCACGTTGGCTGCCAGACCCCAGAGCAAAGTAGCGCAGGACAACATGGACGTCTTTAAAGATCAGTGGGAGAAACAAGTGCGAGTTCTCACCGAGGCTGTGGATGACATCACTTCGGTGGACGATTTCCTCTCCGTTTCAGGTACGGGGATCAAGGGACTCTTCTAAAAATATACCCTGAAATTAAAGTAATTGGTCAGAGCAGAGAAAAGTTGTAATTACCAAAGCATCATTAGTCTGTCCTTATTGGGATGCTGATCTTCTACACTCAGTAGGAGCAACCAAGCCATGCCAACTAATCCCTGGTAGCGATGGTTAACTTTTCATCTCCCAGAAAATAGCATCTTATTTGTGCTTCTATTTCTAGAGAGGTTTTGTTTCAACTCAGGCACAAAGTAGGATTTTGGCTGCCTTTTAAAAGCATATTACAGATCTGTGACAGGCTGACTGTGTTTGCAGAAATCAAAGTGCTCAGGCAGTTGTAGGCAAGAAGAGGAAAGATGAATTTTCCGTACTTTATTCTGTACCTTGGCTCAGATCAGCTGTGTGTAAACAGTGGGGCAGATGTACCATAGAGTCCTGGCCCCTTCATCATCCATGCCAGGCAAC